GCACATGTGGTAACAGTTAAACTCAGATTAGGCTAATGAGCCTCTGTTAAGCCCAATATATAGGTGAGCACACAGAAGCTGAGAAAAGCTAGAAATTTAGCATAATGCTATACATCTTATAAGAGGTGCGGCCAAGATTCTTTTCAGCTCATGTACTTTTGACTACCATTGTTTATAATATCCAAGACACCCTGGGGCTTCTGTAAGGAAAACTGAAGACAAAATGAATGTGTACTTTTCCACCCAATGGGCAATGCCTCAAAGAACTCACTACCTCTAAAAGAGAAATTTGGGGGCAACGGGAGAGGGGAAGGCTTTCTTTAAAAAAAAAAAAGAAAGAAAGAAAGAAAAAGAGCATAAATAGCAGAAGGGCTGGGTTCCTGTGATACCCAGGGCATCAGTCCTTTAGCTTATTAACTGGGATTTTTCCCCCACTGGTGTCTGTGAAGTACCTTTCGCACTCAGATTGAAAGAAACTGGAAAACTAAGGCATAATGAGGGAGTTAATATAATAACTTTAGTTGGTTTAATAACTAAAGCAATCAGTTAAGACGTAGCTCTGAAGGACTCAGCAAAGTTTGGTCCTTTACTTCAAACTGAAACTAGATACACTTCGGTTTCCACTGACTATTACAGGACTGAGCTGAGAACTCAGCAAAATGGGAGAATTGTATTTTTGCCATGGAAAATAAAACTATCCAATATTAACTTGACCTAAAATGAACTACTAGGTGTCTATTTCCAAAAGAAAATGAATTTTGAGTCAGCCAAAGAAGGCATCGATGATTACAGACCTACAAAGCACAAGTCGCTGTTGAGTATTAGTAAGAAAAGTACATCAGCCTGAAGAAAACCGCTACATTTTTTTTTTCTGTGTTTTTCTCCTTAATATCCCCTGGTCAAAACTCCAATGGCTCCCAATTTCTTAGAGAATATACGATAATTCCTTAACACTACATTTAACATAGCTCACAAGTTGGCAAACCGGCCATTCTCCCCTGACTACTGTGCTCCATACATTGTTTTCTTGTCTAGAAGCCACACTGATACATTCTGGCCTCAGTCCGTTCCCTCAGACTATTCCCCCTCAGCTCATTAGGACCAAATTGAATTGACCTGATGAAATCTTGTGCTTGCCCTTTCCTTGAATTCAGCCTGAGTGCACTTACTCTGCAAGTTTGAATATCATATACAGTGATTCAGAAGATTCCCTGGGGAAAATTGGCTGGTTTCCTACCAACAGACTTCACCATCTAGCAAGGCTGTGGTGCTTTCTCCAAAGTCCACATTCTGTTGCTTAGCCCCACAGACTCAAAATTGGTTGGTTAAAGCAAAAAGAATCCAGATCTCATTCGCAGCTAGCTGGCAAGTATGACGGTGAAGCGGGGTGCTATGCTTTCCAGTGAGAAACAGGAAGGCCGGTGGGGAGCAGCCACTGCATTCCTCTGCTCAGCTCATTCTTTCTTTACATGCAAGTCACCCGGATGACCCTCAGAAGAGGGACCTGAGTTAGGTCAGGAGGAATCAGGATAGTAATAGTCAGTGGAAACTAAACTGTATCTAGTTTCAGTTTGAAGTAAAGGACCAAACTTTGTTGACTCTTTCATAGCCACATATTAACTGATTGCTTTAGTTATTAAACCAACTAAAGTCATTATATGAACTGCCTCATTATGCCTTAAATGAATGGCATATTTGGTGGCATCAGGATATTCCAAATGCCAGACTTCTACACTGAGGATAACCTTTCCAATGGGAACACGAGACTTAAATCTGTTGGATAAATGCCACCTCCCTTCACCCTGGGACCTTCCTTTTGTTCTCCTCCACTGCTGATCAACCACTCTATTACCAACATTTTTATTTTCTTTAGTTAGATTGAAAACTTTATTTCTTAAAATGTATGATCTAAATAGCTTTAACACTTTCTTTTTCTAAGTGCCTCAATTTTTTTTCTCCAATACATTGTGTGTTATTTTTCAGTGTCAGAAGTCAATTTTTATTATTTTTACACTTATGATAGTCCCGTCTATTAAAACTACCTTTCTTATGAGAGCTCCTGTGTTGACATATGCCCTGCATTACTCTCTTCAACTTCCACGTGTGTTTTTGTCCGTTTCTTTTTAAACTTAGTCTTAGTTAATCATTCTCAATCTCCTCTGTATTTTATTTGCCGCTTCTCTGTATATTATTTTTCCATCTTGACAAAACGTCCTATTTTCCCACATAATCACTGACTCCATTCATATTTTCTCCCCCAATCTACAATTATGTGTTTCACTTGTCTCTAAAAATGCATGTATCTTGGTAAAATATGTATTTTTTATTTCTATAAATTTTATCATGCTATACATCACAACATTTTTTACTATTTTCAACACTTTTTCAAGAATCTATCTATGTCACTGTATGGGCATCTAGTTCATTTGTTTCTGACTTCTGCAAACTGTTCCATCGGCATGCTCATGTGTGTTCCTCTAATGTTGGACGCCCAGGTTGCCTCCAACTTCTTTTTGCCACAAACAATGTAACGATGAGCATCCTCATATTTGTGCCCTCCTGTGAAAGAACTCTTCTGGAACACATTCCCAGGACTGAAATTACTAGGTCATACCCAATTTTAATACAGCCAGAGATCTTTCCAGTATACCAGTATCTCCTCCCACCAGAATTTTTCATGACACACATACTTACCAATATTTGGTATCATCTACTCTTCTAATGAAAACGAATGCTATCTCATGTTTGAATGAAAACTTTTTTGAAAAGGTATTGAGCATTTTTCAGATTTTCTAACATTTCTACAAAATGTTGATTTGGGACATTTAATAAGCATTTCTCAGATTTTCTAAGTTGGAGCATCTCTCCCTATACTTGTGAGCTATTTAGGAAACTGCTTCTGTAAAATACTGATTCATATCCTCTGATCAACTTTCTCTTGATTTAAAGCTTTATCTTTTTTATTAAAAATAAGGGTTTTAAAATATATATGTTCTAAATATTAACCCCCTGTCAGTTTTAGATATTGTAACTTTATCCCCGATCTGCTCCACTGAAATGGACAAAAGTCCTTTATTTCAGTGTAACTAAAACCACCAAGTTTTGCTTCATAGTTTACACCATTTGGGTTTTGTTTGTAAACTTTTTCTCTCTACTATTAGTTCACCAAGACATCTGCATTGTCTTTTATTAATTTAATAATTGCTTTTTTTCACATTTGATTCTTTAATCCATCTGGTTCCCACCTTTACTTATGGTAATCCAGGGATCTAATTTTATCTTTTTTCATATATAAAGATATTTTCCTAACATGATCTACTAGATTGTCACTTCATAATCGCTTTGGGGTGGGGTGACAGTTTTATGATATATCAAGTTCCCATATATACATGTGTCCATATCCAAGATCCCTTTTCTTTTCCACTGGACTATTTAGATATCCTTGCACCATTATCATACTATTTTTGTTATTGTGGCTTTGTAGTATGTTTCAAATATGGATGCTCCCCCTTATATTTCTTTTATAAAATTGACTGTGCAATTTTTATACTTTGATTCTTCCACATAAATTTTTGAATGAGTATTCATATTCCTCAAAAATCCAGCTGAATTTTGAATGAATTCAATCAAATGTATAGAACATGTTGGGAGGGAAATGACAGCCTTGTTATATTTTTATCCCATCTTTAACATGTTATACCTTTTTAATCACTTATATTCTATTATGCCCCTTTTGTAATTTTTAAAGGATTTCTATAAAGGTCTTGTGCATGATTAAGATAATACCCAGATACATTGTATTTTTGTTATTTTTATAATATTTATTTCTATTATGTTTTCTAATGATTTATTGCTAATATTGAGATAACTATTGATTTTTTTATTATTATTATTGATCTTACAGCCAGAAGTCTTACTAATTTTTCTCATCAGGTCTTATACATTTTTTAATCTCTTCTTATCTTTACTTCTATCATTTTCTTGTCTTATTATTTTGACTAGGACTATCAAGTCTATGTTAAACAGTAGCTATCTTATTCCAGATCTTAATATGAATGTATAAACTGTCTCATTAATTATTAGTGAATGGTAATTTGACACAGATTTTTGTTATATAGTTGTCTTTCAAGTTCAAGAAGTTACTTTCTGGCTTGTGAACTTCAGATAGTTTATATAAAAATTATGAATTGAACTTCACCAAGTGTGTTTTCTGCATCTATTGAAATAATGCTTTTTTTCTTCAGTCTATTCATACCATGACTTACTGGTGATGTCTACCAAATATTTAAGGAAAAACAATCCATATTTCATACACTAAGAGTGTCTAATTCCTTAGGTTGTTATGAATAAAAGCATTTGGAAATGTATCTGGAATAGAATAATTGATACCTAAATTACTGTTTTATTATTGTTGTTGTTAAAATGATTTAAAATGTATATTATTAATATTACTTCTTATTACATTGGTGGTTTTCAAACTATGCCCCTTGAAGTCCTCTTAAACCAAATTGAGGGATGGAAACGAGTCCAATGTTTTCATATATTCTAATCTGTATGAATACAGCTGAAAGTACAGATTTTAATACTGTATCTCCTGTTTGTAAAATGTTGACCTCTAATTCTAATTTAAAACACAGTGCCGACAATCGCTGCCAAACAAAGCACCTCTGTCTGCTGAACCCAGGCTGTAGGCTACTGATTTGCAGCCAATGGGTTAAGAGGCAGAACTTGTAGAAATGACAATAAAATGGTTTGGGATCCAAAGGTCCTATAATCAAATGTGTTCTCTCATAATCCTCAGAGGTTCAGGTTAGGTTTCCTGCTCTAGTGACCTGAGTTTACAGCAACAATTTTCACCAGAGTTAAATTGCCGCATCCAAATACAGAAAAGCAATAACACAGAATATGATTCTCAAAAGAAGTAGCTCTTGCAAATACCGCATTAACAGATTTCTGTTGTATCATCCACAGAGTTCTGTTGAAGAACGGGTATATGTAATATGGAAAAGACCAATGTTTCCATGTTGACAGAATTTGTCCTCGTGGGACTTTCTGCTCACCCAAAGCTCAAGATAGTTTTCTTTGTACTAGTTTTGTGGATGTATCTGATGATCCTGCTTGGAAATGGAGTCCTTATCTCAGTAATCATTTATGATTCTCACCTGCACACCCCCATGTATTTCTTCCTCTGTAATCTGTCCTTTCTGGACATTTGCTATACAAGTTCCTCTGTCCCACTAATTCTTGACAGCTTTCTGACAGTAAGGAAAACAGTTTCCTTCTCTGGATGTATGATGCAAATGTTTCTGTCCTTTGCCATGGGGGCCACAGAGTGCGTGCTTCTAGGGCTGATGGCCCTTGACCGTTATGTGGCCATCTGCTACCCACTGAGATACCCTGTCATCATGAGCAAGGGAGTCTACGTGCCCATGGCAGCTGGATCCTGGGTTTCTGGGCTTGCTGACTCAGTGGTGCAGACATCTCTTGCAATGCAATTACCATTCTGTACTAACAATGTTGTTAGCCATTTTGTCTGTGAAATTCTGGCTATCCTGAAACTGGCCTGTGCTGATATTTCAATCAATGTGATCAGCATGGCAGGGTCAAATCTGATTGTTCTGGTTATTCCATTGCTAGTAATTTCTGTCTCTTATATTTTTATTGTTGCCACCATTGTGAGGATCCCTTCCACTGAAGGAAAACTTAAAGCTTTCTCCACCTGCTCAGCCCACCTGACGGTGGTGATTATATTCTATGGAACCATCTTCTTCATGTATGCAAAGCCCAAGTCTAAAGCCCCCATTGGCACAGATAATCAAGACATCACTGAGGCCCTTGTATCCCTCTTCTATGGAGTAATGACTCCTATGCTCAATCCTCTCATCTATAGTCTACGGAACAAAGATGTAAAGGCTGCTGTCAAGAATATGCTGGGTAGGAAAAGATTTTCTGATGGAATATGAATACTGATTTACACCATGTGACTCAGTATGCAAAACTGCTGCAGACACAATGTTGAGAAAGAGAAAATTACCATTTGAAAACAAATTAACCATGTGGCATTCAAAATTACGTGATAGAAATTTTCTGATTGCTGTTGTTACTATTAGGTTTTTGTTCTAACTGTAGAAATGAAATATGCTCCTGGTTTTAACACATAGTATTACAGAAATGCAAAATGTTGAAAATCTCTTAGTAAGCCCCAGGAAAACATAATTACTCTTAAATCTTTAGAAAGTGATAAGGGCAAAAGGTGTTCTAAACAACACTATGTAACCTATAGCGAGTGCATTATTAACAGTGTGCAAAGTAAATAGTAATCAGCACATGATGTATTACGTATCTATTTTTAATTTGTTCTTTTATTTATTTTTTGTGTCCACCACTCATATAAGTTCCCTGAGGGTAGGACCTTGTCTGTTTATTGCCCTACAGTATCTGAAAGACCTGTATCTTAAACACGGAGGCTGGCACATCATAGATGACCAGCAAATGTTTTTGGAATAAATATGTGAGCCACCTCATGTATAAGGCCAGGAATATACGTCTGTCATATCTAAGGGAACCAAAATCGTTCAAAAAGAAAAACTGATTAAATAAAATATTTCTAAATAAACTATATTGGCATTTTGTCATACAAACATTCCTTAATAGCTAAGATACTATCTTTTACTTTCAAGGTGCTGTGTCTTACAATGTAGAGAAACAAGTTTCGTTCACCAGCTACCATAACTTTTCTGGGACTTCAGACATGGTGAGATTAAGATAGATGAAAGAGTTTTCTGATAATGCATCCCAACTTTTAACTTAATAAAACACAAGTGACTTCATGGCACAGAGTTCCTCTTGGACTTTGAGAAGAGCTATACTACAAAGAGGACATTTTTCCTACTCTGCATTGGATCACACAGCTCCTAAGCAGTAGGAGAACTAGACAGAATTAGTGGCTGACAAAAATTGAAATATATGGATAAGATGTGGTAGGAGAAACTGGGTCAGAATGTTCAATGGACTGACAAACTACAGGGCTTGGTGAATTGAGGGATAAGATAGAAATGGCCCAAAATTGAGATTATCTCTATTTATTGAAGAGTGAAGCCATGTGGAGCGGTGCCCATGTGAGAAATGAAAGCTCTACTAGCATTGGATAAACTGAGTCTGATTTGGTCAGTAGAGGAAAGCACTCCCTTTGTCTAGCTCTTTAAGGAGTCTGTGGAGTTGAAATATAGAACAAAAATCTAAAATAAAAGACTATAGATACTTGCAAGTTGTGAGAGTAAGCCCATAATATCTTCCTTCCTTGTTAGTAGGTAATTATTGTTATTGCAAAATATTAGATACATTAATTCATGCATAGCTCTTCATAGTACCTGGAACATCATAAACACCCAATAAGCATTAGCTATTTTATTACTTTTAGTATTGGGTGTACTTCAGTATGTCATAAAACTTTGAGTTGACACAAGATTTTCATCTTTACTTTTTAGGGAACAACTTTGATGCTATTAAACTGTTGTCTCTCAGCTTTAAATCTACTTTTCTATGTTCTGCTTTGTGGGTTAGGATTGAAGCACCAAAAACCACATTTCTCCTGTGTTACCTAGCTGCTGTTAAACTCTTCCAGAAGAGTTACTAGAGGGAGAATGGAAAGTTGGATGAAGATAAGGGGTTTGCTACTCCCTATTTGCTTCCTGTTCCTGTCAGCGTCATCCCAGCTATGGCTCTTCACCATAAAAATTAGCTGCTTACAATATCAGTTTTAGTTTTATTTATTTTTCTCCAAAACTCAGAATCAGTAATCTACTAGTGCCATCTCCTCAAAGATTTGAGTCTGTCACTTGGCTTCTACTTCTGGTGAACTAAAAGTCCTGTCAAGTGTATAGTCTCCTCTGTGGTATCTTTAAAAGAAATGAGATATGCAATTCTCTGAGAAATGAAACCACATCAGATTTAGTCCATTTACATTCTGCATAAGCAATAGATTGAATCACACTAAAATTTTCATATGCAAATAACAGAAGGCACTGGGCAAGACATTTGCATTTTTTCTGCAGTTGAGCTCTTGTTTTAAAATGTAGATTATAAAAATCTTTTTAGTGTACTCTAAAATGGAATAATTATAATAATCATATCATCACTATATGACAATCAGAGCCCTAAATAAGTGTGAGACACCTTAAGTTAAGTGTACCAATATACACATAATGGGAGCACAGAGGAGAGTAGACAGAGATGGGAAGAAAAAAATATTTGTGGAAATAATGGCTGAAAACTTCTCAAATTTGAGGAAACATTAGTCTGTACATCCAAGACGCTCAACAAACTTCAAGTAAGGTAAACTCAAAGAGTTCCACACTCAGACACATCATAGTCAAAATGCTGAAAGAAAAAGGCAAAGAAACCACTTTATAAGCTTTAAGAGAAAATTAGCTCATAGAGTACAATGGAACCACTATCAGATGAATAGCTGACTTCTCATTAGAAACAATTGAGGCCAAAAGGCAATGAGATGACACAAAGTCCTGAAAGAAAAACAAAATGAAACAAAACACACTGCCAACCGAGAAGCCCATGTCCAGAAAAACTATGTTTCAAAAATAAAATCAAAATAAGACATTATGTGATAAACAAAACCGATATAATATTTTGCAAGCAGATCTACAAAATAATAAAGGAAGTTCTTCAGATTAAAAGGAAGTAACAGCAAACAGTAATTCAATTATACACACAAAAAAACAAACTAACAAAAATATAGGTTAAAGCATCAATAAATGAATTAAAGTGTTACATTAGCTCATCTGGTTGGCCGACTAAAATTTTCTTGTACATCTTGTATGTACTTGTTGGTTCAATTTGGAGTGGCCAGGGATGGCATTTCTGTACTCCTTATTAAAGAATTTTTTTACAGAATTATTGTACCCAGCTCCTTACAGTAGTGCCAACATCCGGGAGGTGTACAGACATTCTTCTCCCACTAAACCCTAAAAACACAGTTTCTATCCCTACATTGTCATTTTTCCTTGCTCTGCAGCCAAGCATAGGCAGCTTCAGGCACATCCAATATTCTCCAGTAGAAAATGCCAGTCTCTTGAATTTTAAGGTGCCTTACGAATAGCTCTATTGAAACATTACCCGCCTTTGTGGGTGGCAGTGGGGTTGGGGGTGGACAAAGGAGAGATTAGGATGACGGTGGAATGCACGGCATAATCATCTTTCTGCCAACCAAATTAACACAACTCACTCCAAACTCTTCTCTTCACCTTCTCTTAGACTAATGTGTGAATGGAAGTGGTTTCACAATTTTTTAAATGCTCTAAAAATATGATCTATAAACTCATTTGGTATATGGGATTTACAGTACCTATTATATTGTTCTCTGCCATTGCAGCATCTTCCACAACGTTGTGTAATGTTAAATGAAATACCAAATATAAAAATATATCTGTATTATAATCACAACTGCTTAAGCCAGTCCTACATAAAAAAGATTCCCTAAGCAAGCCTATATCCTGATATATAATATTCACCCATTGCCCTTGTCCATAGGTCCACTTACCATTAACTTTATGACTGGTTATATTGCCACAGCTTTCTAAAAAATTCTAAACCATAATACCTTGCCCAGTAACAGAGAATCTCATAAGGATGAATCAAAAGAGGACAGAAACCAAACAACAGACTTGAAGAGGAAACTCCAGAACTCTACTGACATATTTACTCCTTTTGATTTTCTTGGCCATAGCAATGTGTGCCAGCTAAATATCAGCCCTTTCTTTCAGGTCAGAGAAAAAATTAAAACCGGAAAAATTAAAATTAAAGCCAAAAAATTAAAACCTCATAAAACCAGGCCTGAGATTGTGGCCACTGTTACAGGTGTATCGGCTGTTTATAGCTAGTGTTCATTCTGGTTGGCTGGTAGCGATACTATAGTCTTTGTAAAATATTTTCTATGTCAATCCTTCTAAGAAATGAAATATAATTGAATAATACACATTTAAACTTACTGGATACAGAAACAGTAGCTCTTTTTGTGGGAAATGTTCATACTTAAATTCTTATAGGAAACTTGGCTTCATAAGGAGGAGAGAAGGAAGGAAACAAGAGAAAGGAGACAAGGAGATGGAGCTATCTAGGGAATTTGAATTCAGAGCCAACATGCTAGGCATTGTGCTATATAGTCACATAATTATTATTAATTATGTGTTTTTTCTCACTGCATCTTCACAATACTATCAAAAGGTCTATCTCCTTGTCCTTGATTTATAAGTGAAGAGACTAAGAAAGAGGTTAAGACAGGTCTAAGTAGTAGAGCTAGGTCTCTTTCCTCTAGAAGCTTACTAGTCAGGAGAGAAATATCCTGAAGTCCAATAGCATCTGAGTCAGGAAAAGTAATCTAAAGGTATTAGAGAGCAGGAGAAATAAGAAACCCAAGCAGGATGTTATGTCGGCATGTATCCAGAACTGTTAACTGGGTAATTAGGTGAATTCAGGGGACTGTGATGAACAAGTCCTGTGATGGTTGCTGTAGAGGCCATGATAAGTGGACAATAGCTAGACTTTCTCTTGAACCCAGTACTGCATCACCCTCCTGAGAAACTCATGGAAATCCCTGTACTCATAGGAAATAAACAGTAAGCACTAAGAGCAAGGGCAACCAGAAAATTGCTGAATAAACCTAGGGTCATGAGCTTTTAGTGTGATGCACTTTATGGAAGATGAGAGGGTTCGAGAATTTTTAGTTTTTAAGGGAAGCAGAAAACCTTAGTGGTAAGTTGGGTGGATGGGAGTCAAATTGTTTAGACTGAAATCTCACCTTTGCGAGTTTAATTTAATTTAATTTCTCTGAACTTCGGTTTTCTCATTTATTGTGAGGATTAATAATCTAGTCAGCTCATTAATTCATATCTGGTAGCACTTCTCTTAAGCTAGACAAGGGTTTCTCAGTTCGGCACACCAAGGAGCT